AGATTTTGGGAAAGTTTACAAAGTGCTTTGGGTTCTAAGTTGAGACTGAGCTCGGCGTATCATCCTCAGGCGGATGGTCAAACCGAGAGAACAATTCAATCATCGGAAGACTTGATGCGTGCTTGTGTGCTAGAACAAGGTGGTGCATGGGATAGTTATTTGGCATTGATTGAGTTCACCTATAATAATAGTTTTCATGCAAGTATTGGTATGGAGCCATTTGAGGCTTTGTATGGCCGGAGATGTCGAACACCTTTGTGTTGGCATGAAACCGGTGAGAGGTCGGTAGTTGGTCTGGAGTTGGTACAACAAACTACAGAGAAAGTGAAGTTTATTCGGGAGAAGATGAAGGCTTCTCAGAATAGACAAAAGAGCTACCATGACAAGAGAAGGAAAGATCTTGAATTTCAAGAAAGCGACCATGTGTTTTTTAGAGTTACACCGGTACGGGTGTGGGTCGTGCTTTGAAGTCGAAGAAGTTGACTTCTTGTTTTATTGGTCCTTATCAGATTACTGCACGAGTGGGTGCTGTGGCTTATCGTGTGGCGTTGCCTCCGAATCTTTCGAATTTGCATGATGTGTTCCATGTTTCACAACTTCGGAAGTATGTTCCGGATCCGTCACATGTTGTTCCTATGGACGAGGTTGAGGTAAGGGATAACCCTACGGTAGAAGTTTTACCGGTTAGGATTTTGGATCGTGAAGTTAAGAAACTTAGAGGCAAGGATATTGCACTTGTGAAAGTCGCGTGGGGAGGTGCTTCTGAAGGCAATAAGACTTGGGAATTGGAAAGTGGGATGCGAGAGTCGTATCCGGACTTGTTTGAATCATGTAATATTTTTGAGGACAAAAATTTCTAAAGTGGGGGAGAGTTGTAACGCCCAATTTCGATTATTTCATTTTATTGAGTGTGCTATTTAAATTGAGTAATAATTGTTTTAATTGTGAATTTGATGTGTTAATTTAGTATGTTTTAATATTTTACCGTTTCAGAGAATTTCGGGTAAAATTTAGATTAGAAAGTATTTTAGTCTTTTGATAATAATAGAATTGAAGGGAAAAGTATAAGAGGAAATAGGGAGGAAAATAGAAAGAGAGTTAGAGAGAAAGAACAAGAGAAAGAGAAGAGAAAGAGGAGGAAGAAGAGCAAAACCTAGAATCATCAAGAACCAACATCTAAGCTTTCGATTAATTGGGTAAGGGTGTGAAACTTTATTATTCTATCCATATGTATGATCATGAATGTGTTGTGTGGATTGTTTGGTAGTTTTCTACACTTTCCATTTCTAGATTGAATTCGATTTAATCGGTAGAATCGAGTTTTTAATGGTTGAAAATGAGAATAAGTGGTCAAGTTTAAGTCGAGGTATGTTGGGTGGTATTGCTGAGACGAGTTGGAGTAGAATCGGTTAGATTCAGTGAGTTTCAGAATTTTTGGATAGTTAGGGATTTCTAAGTTTGCAGGTTCGCCAGGCGAAGCCTAGCGAGTAGTCAGCGAACCAAGTCAGTAGCCAAATCTAGTCTTCGCTGGCAAGTTCGTCGGGCGAAGGCTAGTGGCGAGGGTTCACCAGGCGAATGAATCCAGCGAGTGGTAGCGAATACTTCCAGTAGCTTCTGACTGCCTTCGCTAGCGAGTTCGCCAGGCGAAGGAGGTAGCGAGCATTCGACAGAGGGTTCGCCAGGCGAAGGTCAGCGAATGTGACAGCATTTTTTCCAGTTCATGTGTTTTCTTTTCCAATGTTAATTGTTTGTTTTGGTTACGTTAATCCTTATCTGAATGGACGATTTGTGTGCTGTTGTGATATGTTATGCTGTGGGTAGCCGTATGGTGTGAATCCTAGGTTATGGATCATTTGTGAGTGTGGCCGTTGGGCAAATTATATGCATTGTTTGAATTGAATAAAAATGCATGGTAATTGTGATGAATGTGAAGAATGCATGATAATATATTTGCGAATGTGTATGCATTTTGTGTTAATTGATCCCGCGTAGGATCTGCAGAACCTCGTGTGAGCGATGGTTTATAGTTGATTGAGTCATGTTAGCATGTGAAGCATCATGATATGCATTTGTGTTAATTGATCCCGTGTAGGATCTGCAGAACCTCGTGTGAGCGATGGTTACATTTGATCCCGCGTAGGATTTGCAGAACCTCGTATGATGCGATGGTTATATTTGATTCCGCGTAGAATCTACAGAACGATTGTGTGCCCATGTGGGGTGTGAGCAATCGGATTGTGTGCCCATGTGGGGTGTGAGCAACCCTGAAACATCGTGTGCCCATGTGGGGTGTGAGCAATGGGTGAACATCGTAGGCCTGACGGGGAGTTACTTCGGTAACGAGTGATGGTTCCATTTTGGTTCTTCAATTGAACCTGCTGAATTGAGTCGGTACCGCATTTGCATCTGCATAGAGTCGTGAGTCGGTCTCTATGAGTTGCATTATCATCTTTATATGATGCATTGGTGAAATAAACATGTATGTGGATGTTTATGTGAAATGGTGATGATATAAACATATTGTGTATGTTTATGTGAATTAATGCGAATTGTGTTAATGGCATGAATGAGTATGCTTGAAAATATGTGTATATATATGTGTATGAATATATGTATATATGTAGGTTTATATGGATTGATATAAACATTGGTGATTGCATATTGTATATGCTTGATGTTCTATTTTTATATAGATACTTATATGGATACATTGCGATGTATAGAATGATTGAGGTGAGTTGTGGTGTGAATGCGGAAGATGCGCAAACTAATGATATGTATATATATGATTTATGCATTGAATATTATGATATTGTTTCTCACCCTTCTGCTGTTTTATGATGCTCTATGAGGCATTGCAGATTAGGTGCTGGTGATCCCTTTTTGTGAAGCGCGTCTTCATTAGTTTTGGTCAGATGGCTCTAATATGTAACACCGGGTAGCATAGGAAGCCTTGGGCTATTTTTGATGAATACATTTGTATATGTATTATTGGTGTTGCATGTTTTGTAAACACGAATGTTGTTGATGAATTATATTGAATGATGTGAATATGTATATAGGTGAATACATGTCGGTTGTGATTCAAATGTTTAGATTTTCCGCTTTTATTCTAATATTTGAGATGTGGGTATAAGGACTAAGATCCTCTGATGTGTTTGTTGCCCATTGTTGCATATCTATTATGAGCAGGTGTTGTATGTGTTTTAATTCAAGCATAATGTGACATGTTCCTTTTATACCGTATTTTAAATAATACTCTGATGAAATATTGAATTCGCGCCTAAATGATTCGTTTGATTATTTAGGGGTATAGAAAGGGGGTGTTACAACATGCTCCTTTCATACCATGTTTTCAATTATACTCTGATGAAAATTTGAATTTGTGCCTAAATGATTTATATGTTATTTGGGGGTATAGTAAAGGGGTGTTACACTCTCCCCCGCAGAGACACCAACGTTGCGAGTCTCACAGCCTGTCGATACAACGACCGGGCCGTCGACCACAGTTTGAGAGGCCACATCCCTTGAAGCGCAACCCCATTCTTCCCCGCAAGGACCGCCTCTCCTCGGTTTCCAAGAATAAAAAGGCCGAAGGATGACTAGACAACCGTCGGCCACCCCAACAAAAACGTAAAGGCCGACCAAAGAACTCGCGACCGCGCCGTGACGATAGTCCCCGGCGGGAGAGGTACAACTACTCTCCGCCGCGCTCACCACTCAAGAGCGACAAAGATAACCCCCGCGGTCCGCTCTCTCGAGCGATCATGAACGCTCCACTTTCTGCCGGGTTGAAAAAATCTCTGAACCTGGGGACATATGACGGAACGACTGATCCCGACGAGCACCTCGGGAACATCGATGCATTGCTCGACTACCGCGGCGTCTGAGGCGTCATCAAGTGCAGGCTATTCCCCACGACCTTGAGGAAAGGTACAATGAAATGGTACAAAAGTCTTGCTAAAGATTCCGTTACTTCCTTGAGGGACCTAGGAAGGCAGTTCTCGAGGCACTTAACTGCCTCCCGTCGCCATCCAAAGTTCGAGGCGACACTCGAGGTGATCATACAGGGGAAGGATGAGTCCATATTGTAGTTATATATCTAAAACAAAACCAAAGAAAGAATCAACCCAACATGAACTTTCCAAACATAAAATTAGCATTACAATGATGATTTCAACAAAAAAATAAATTAAATACTATATTTCAATATCCCAGTGGACGTTTGCACATCTCCAAGATATCGTCGACCGATCTTCGTAGTGTCACTTCCAACTCGAGCGAAACTTTCTTTTCGAAATCGAAAAACGTTCGTCACATCGCCATAACATCTGCTCGAGTCTTGAGCTCAAATTTGCTGAAAACAATTTTCCATTCGTTGTCAATTGATGGTGAACGAAACTCAAGGTTGACAACCATTTGTGTGTCTCCGTAAGGTAGAAGATAGTGAATTTCGTCTATGATATCGTCGAGAGAGGTATGATCGGTAAGCTTGAACGTCTTCCCGGGTGTAAAGGCGCCGGAGTAGGAGACACTTGTGACATACCAACGAATGTTTATTTCACACATTTGAGACATTTTGAGTTTGTGTGAAGTACAACACAAGAACACTAAAATCTAGAGAAGACCTAACTCAATAAAGATCACTCTTTGTCATGTTTTCTTTAAATGGTTCCAGAGATATATCTTTGAAATAAATCTTTAACAACTGCATGAGACGTCATCTAGATATAACTCTGAAAACTATGGAATTATATGAAATTTGGATGATCTCTAAAAAATACATAAACATTTAAGAAATTCTGTAATAAAAAAAAACTCGAATGTTTCTCACAGCAACGCCGCTGCAAAAGCACCTGGCGCCGCATCCTTCCTTCCAACTCAAAGGCAGCGCCTCCCCCACTTAGAAAAACGACATTCATCTTCATTTCATAAATCAACGCGATTTTAAAACTTCAGTATGCCTCTTCCAATAACACCGCCGAGTTAGAGCTAGAAGAATGAACGATGAGACAGAGAGAGAAATTATTTCAGATGACAAAGAAGCAGAAGCAGCGTTACATAAAAATCACTTATCAATGCTAGATCGTCTCTCCAAACGGCAACAATCCCGTTCAACCAACTCCACCGAACCTTCCACCGAATCAACTTCCTCCTTCTTTTCTGGATTCTCCCGACTAAAATCCTCTATCGAATCTCTTATCGCCGAGTCCCAATCAATTACTTTTGATCCATCTCAGCTCAAACCTCACTTCGACAAAATATCCGAATCAATCTCCGATTTGGAAAAACTCGTCGTTCAAAGCTCCTATTTTCTTCCTTCTTATGACGTTTGATCTTTCCTTAAAACTGTTTCCGATTTGAAACGTAGCCTTGATAATCTCAGCTCCGAGCTTATCCCTAAAAATAAATTCTTGTTCAAGAATAAGGCTAGTAAGAAAGAGCGAGATTCTCGTTCAACTACTCTTTGCCGTGCTCACCACTCAAGAGCGACGAAAATGCCCCCCTCGGTCCGCTCTCTCGAGCGATCATGGACGCTCCACTTCCCGTCGGGTTGAAAATTTCCTTGAACCTAGGGACATATGATAGAACGACAAATCCCGACGGGCACCTCGAGAACATCGATGCACTACTCGACTACCGCGACATCAAAGGCGTCATCAAGTGCAGGCTATTCCCGACGACCTTGAGGAAAGGTACCATGACATGGTACAAAAGTCTTGCTAAAGGTTCCATCACTTCCTGGAAGGACCTAGAAAGGCAGTTCTCTAGGCACTTAACTGCCTCTCATCGCCATCCAAAGTTTGAGGCAACACTCGAGGTGATCATACAGGGGAAGAATGAGTCCATACTGTAGTTATATATCTAAAACAAAACCAAATACATAATCAACCCAAGATGAACTTTCCAAACATAAAATTAGCATTACAATGATGATTTCAAAAAAAATAATTAAATACTACATTTCAATATCCCGGTGGACGTTTGTACATCTCCAAGATATCATTGACCGATCTTCGTAGTGTCACTTCCAACTCGAGCGAAACTTTATTTTTGAAATTAAAAAACGTTCGTCACATCGCCATAACATCTGCTCGAGTCTTGAGCTCAAATTTGCTGAAAACAATTTTCCATTCGTTGTCAATCGATGGTGAACGACACTCAAGGTTGACAAACATTTGTGTGTCTCCGTAAGGTAGAAGATAGTGAATTTCATCTATGATATCGTCGAGGGAGGTATGATCGGTTAGCTTGAACGTCCTCCCGGGTGTAAAGGCGCCGAAGTAGGAGACACTTGTGACATACCAACAAATCTTTATTTCACACATTTGAGACATTTTGAGTTTGTGTGAAGTACAACACAAGAACACTCAAATCTATAGAATAGCTAACTAAATAAAGATCACTCGTTGTCATGTTTTCTTTAAATGGTTCCAGAGATATATCTTCGAAATAAATCTTTAACAACTGCATGAGACGTCATCTAGATATAACTCTGAAAACTATGGAATTATATGAAATTTGGATGATCTCTAAGAAATACATAAGCATTTAAGAAGTTCTATAATAAAAAAAAACTTGTATGTTTATCACAGCAACACCGCTGCAAAAGCACCTGGCGCCGCATCCGTCCTTCCAACTCAAAGGCAGTGCCTCCCCCACTTAAAAAAACGACATTCATCCTCATTTCATAAATCAACGTGATTTCAAAACTTCAGTATGCCTCTTCCACCAACACCACCGAGTTAGAGCTAGAAGAATGAACGATGAGACAGAGAGAGAAATTATTTCAGATGATAAAAGAAGCAGAAGCAGCGTTACATAAAAAGCACTTATCAATGCTAGATCGTCTCTCCAACTCGAGCGGAACTTTCTCTTTGAAATCGAAGAACGTTTGCCACATCGCTATAACATCTGCTCGAGTCTTGAGCTCAAATTTGTTGAACGCAATATTCCCTTCATTGTCAACCGAGGGTGAACAACACTCAAGTTTGATAACCCTTTGTGTGTCTCCATAAGGTAAGAGATAGTGGATTCCGTCTATGATATCATCGAGGGAGGTAAGATCGATGAGCTTGAATGTCCTCCCGGGTGTAAAGGCGCCGGAGTAGGAGACACTTGTGACATACCAACGAATGTTTATTTCACACATTTGAGACATTTTGAATTTGTGTGAAGTATAACATAAGAACATCCAAATTTATAGAAGACTTAACTCAATAAAGATCATCATCGTCATGTTTTCTCTAAATGGTTCCAGAAATATATCTCCGGAATAAATATTTAACAATTGCATTGGGCGTTATCAAAAATAACCTTTTTTAAATGTGAAAAGAGTGCATCTATAGATATATCTCTAAAAACTATAGACATTATATAAAATTTGGATGATGTCTAACAAATACATAAACGGGCTTAAGAAATTCTATAAAAAAAACTTATATGTTTCTCACAGTAACGCCACTGCAAAAGCACCTGGCGCCGCATCCGTCTGTCATACTCAAAAGCAATGCCTACCCCACTTAGAAAAACTACATTCATCTTCTTTTCATAAATCAACGCGATTTTAAAACTCCAGTGTGCCTCTTCAACCAACACCACCGAGTTAGAGCTAGAAAAATGGACGACGAGACGGAGAAAGAAATTATTTCAGATAACAAAGAAGCAGAAGCAGCGTTACAGAAAAAGCACTTATCAATGCTAGATCATCTCTCCAAACGCCAACAATCCCGTTCAACCAACTCCACCGAACCTTCCACCGAATCAACTTCCTCCTTCTTCTCCCGCTTCTCCCAACTAAAATCCTCCATCGAATCTCTTCTCTCTAAATCCCAATCAATTGCTTCCGATCCATCTCAGCTCAAACCTTACTCCGACAAAATCTCTGAATCAATCTCTGATTTGGAAAAACTCGTCGCTCAAAGCTCCTATTTTCTTCCTTCTTATAATGTTTGATCTTCCCTTAAAATTGTTTCCGATTTGAAATGTAGCCTTGATAATCTCGGCTCCGAGCTTATCCCTAAAAAGAAATTCTCGTTCAAGAATAAGGCTAGTAAGAAAGAGCGAGATTCAGTTGTTCCAGAATCCGAACTGGTTCGTGATTTTGTTCAACCGAGCTATGTGGCGTGCGATTCTCCAGGGTTTAGGAACAAAATCGATGAAGTTTTGGTTGGGGAGTTTAAAGAATCAAAGATTGGGGAATTCACGATTTTGGATCTTGATTCTTGTGAAGTGAGGATAATTGGTTGCATTAGGGCGCTTTTCATTCATAGATTGAAGGACTGTAGGGTTTACGTTGGGCTAGTGACAGGATCAATTCTGATTGAGGAAGCCGAGTGTTGTGTTTTTGCTAATGTGTCGCATCAAATTCGGATTCATGATGCTAGAAAAGTGATTTCTACCTTAGGGTTAGGAGCAGGCCTATAGTTGAGGATTGTAATGGTGTGAGATTCGCGCCATATTGTTTGAGTTATGGGCGGATTAAAGAAGATCTTTGCGGTGCTGATCTTGATGTGGAGACTGGAAATTGGGCCAATGTGGATGATTTCCGGTGGCTACGTGCGGTGCAGAGTCCAAATTTGTCGATTTTGCTAAAGAATGAGAGGGTTGGGATTGTTGATATATCTAATTCGAAAAGTATGAAGGAGGAAATTTGATTTGAGTTGTAGAGCTAGTGTTTTCAAGATTGTTTATTTTCCTTTTATCAATTTATTAATATTATAACTGTGAGAGTTATTTGATTCTTCTTCATCCTCCTAGGAATTCTCTTATCGGATTTTTGATGTTGAGTTTGACTTGATTTTTGAAATACAAATGGTAGTATTTATGTTAGGATGCATGCTTTTGTGCTAGTCAATTCAGGAATCACTGCATTTGCATTTTATGTTACAAATTCCTCGGCTACAAACATAGGGTGGATTATTTATCTTAGGCCACAATCCCTTATATGGTTAATCACTTTGTCATCCATAAGCTATTTTTTACATGGCTTGGATTACCTCAATATAAGATAGAATTATATTCTTGGCACTCACCGGATACTCTTTTTGGGTAAGTTTTCTTTTGGATGACCTCAGCTTGCTGAATGGATCCAATATATCTCTTATGTTCACTGTTTCCATGCCTACTTGATTTTCTCCTTGTCATTAACCAACTTGAAATAGGGTTGTATTCTATGTTGTTAGTGTTCTATCTCATGGTTCAATAATTCATATTTTGAAAGGACAGAGTCACAATTTGAATCAGTTCTAGTTTTTGGGAAAGATTATTTAAGTTGTTGTTTCCTTTCTAAACATGGTTGTATCATCTAATGATCTTGAGTCATGCTATGCCAAGTACTGACACACCGTGACTCAGGAACATTAGATAATGCAGCCCTGCATATGGTGCTTGATAAGCTTTCTCCGACGACTTATTCATGGGTGCTTAAGCAATAATCTTTTGTATTGGTGCAATAGTGTTGTACAAGAAAATGCATATAATAACTAATGTATTGTGCATATGATTATCTAAGGTATGGATTTCTAATATCTTGTTGGTATGTTGGTGAATCCAATACAATAGTACCAATTTTTGGACCTAAAGATGCATGACTGGTCAACTTTTGCACTCAAAATTGTCATTCTCCCTGAGATTATTGCACATGAAACTTGTAGTATATTATTGGTGTTATTCTTAATAGTGATTTTTATTTAGGAAATACGTAGGTCCTTTGCTCAATGACATATTTGGTTCCGTTAGTGGCATTAACAATAGTGTGAAGCCAATAATTATTCATATATCAGCTGGATTTATGATATCTTATATATATTTGGTTGTGCAGACTTATATGATTCATATTATTTCATGTTTTCAGCATCGCAACATTGGTAGTTTACTATTCCATCTAATCATAGTTAAGTGCTGCCAAATGCTGGAACAATGCAGTAAAGTGTAGTAAAGTGTAATGGAGTTTCTCTGAGAAGCCAAATCTGGTACAACCATTCCATAACAAACATTAATAAGTTTTTCTTTATTTCTTGCAAGTAGTTGGAGTGTAAGTCTTAACAAGATATTGGAGTTGTTTGGCAGTAATGACATGCTTAACAAGATATTGGAGTTGTTTTGCAGTAATGACATGTTCTGTTATGATTGCATTACATAGTGGGTTTTTCATTGATTATCTAACTAAATTGAGTTTATTATGGGTGGAGCTGGTGCAATTGTTTTTTCATGATTTAGAAAATTAGCACCAGATGAGTCGTAGAACAGTTTGCTCTCTTTAAGACATTTCACAACACTGTTCAAAAATATACAAAGCAACAATCAGGATAAAATAGCTCATTTCAATTTTAAG